TGTTCTTCAAAAGCGCCTGTTTCTTTCCCTCATAAATCTCTTTTTTCAGAGAAACAGGCATGTTCTTCGAAAGCACCGGTTTTTTTTCAGTATCAAAATTAATCTATTTTTCTATTTTAGAGAATCACAACCACGTTCTTCAAAAGTTCTGGTTACTTTCACTATCAAAATTAATTATTTTTGTAGAGAAACAGAAGCATGTTCTTCGAAAGCGCCAGTTTCTCTCGCTATGAAAATTAGTCTTTTTTTAGAGAAGCAGAAGCGTGTCCTTCAAAAGCGCCGGTTTCTTTCCATCTCAAAATTAATCTATTTTTTAAGAGAAACACAGGCGTGTTCTTCAAAAGCACCACTTTCTCTTGCTATCAAAATTGATCGATTTTTTTTAGAGAAACGGAAGTCCGTTCTTTAAAGGGGAAAGAAAGCGCCGGTTTCCTTCGCTATCAAAATTCAACATTTTTTTAGAGAAACAGGAGTGTGTTCTTCAGAAGTGCCTCACGTTCTATCATTATTAATCTGTATTTTTAGAGAAATGGAAGTTTGTTCTTCAGAGGAAAGCACCTGTTTCTTTCGGTATCAAAATTAATCTGTTTTTTTAGAGAAGCGGCGTCCGTTCTTTAGGGGGGAAAGGGCCAGTTTCCTTCGCTATCAAAATTAAAGTATTTTTTTAGAGAAATGGGAGTGTGTTCTTCAGAAGTGCCAGTTTCTTTCGCTATCAAAATTAATCTGTTTTTTTAGAGAAACGGAAGTTTCTTCTTCAAAGCAGAAAGGGCCGCTCTCTTCCAATGTCCGAGTGCACCATTTAATATATTTTAATATATTTTAATAATAGAATATTAAATATAATATTTATATATTATATTTAATAAATATATATTAAAATATAAATAAATATATATGAATATACAAAAATAAAAAATATGTAATTTTATACATATATTTAAAATATATGTATGTATATGTTTGTTTATATTTTAATATAGTATATATTTAATATTAAAGATACATTTAATGTTATATTAATGTCCATTACAAAGGCCAAGATCTTGCCTTCCTGGTACCATGGTACAGGACAATTAGTCTTTTCAAGTCACTAGACCTCAAGGAAAAGCTTCCTCCGTGTCAGAGCCATGTGACAGTGGGCTCTCCACCCCCCCCGGGGGGCATCTAGGTGGAACTGCGCAGCCCTTGGAGCAGGATGATGGTCTCTGCAGTCCCGCCGCAGCACGACCAGACGAAAGGAGAACGCAGGTTCTTTCCGTCAATTTCGCAATCTTCCCGCCGCTACGGGGCGCTGTGGGTCCGCCAACCTCGCCGCTCTAGCCGGCGCTTCACTTGCCACGCTCCTCCCTCTGGAGATGTTCTAGGCGTTTCCTCTCGCCAGCCGGAAGTGCCCGCCCCATCTAGCTTCCCATTGGCCAGTGGGCCGGGGTCACGGTGAGGCCCAGCAGGGGACGCTCTAGGCGGCTCCTCTCGCCGGCCGGAAGTTCCCGCCCCGCGCGACTTCCCATTGGCCAGTGGGCCGGGGTCACGGTGAGGCCCGGCTGGAGACGCTCTAGGCGGCTCCTCTCGCCGGCCGGAAGTTCCCGCCCCATACGGCTTCCCATTGGCCAGTACGCCGGGGTCGCCGTGAGGCCCGGCTGGAGACGCTCTAGGCGGCTCCTTTCGCCGGCCGGAAGTTCCAGACCCTCCAGGCTTCCCATTGGCCAGTGCGGCGGTCGCTTACTATCGGCGAGGGAAAATGGCGGAGTACGCGGCCGTGCAGCGCGGCCCGCTGCGGCTCAAGGGCGGCGGCGGCGCGGCGGCCGCGGGGAAGAGGTGAGGCTCGCTCGGCCGCGGCGGAGGGCGGCTCTCCCGGCGTCCCTACTCCGCCCCAGGACGCGGAACCAGCGCGCACCACAGTAGGCCAAAAGAAGCCGCGGGTTCCTTCCGTCAATTTCACAATTTTCCCGCCGCGAAGGGGCGCCGTGGGTCCGCCATCCTCGCCGCTCTGGCCGAAGCATCGCTTGCCACGCTCCTCCCTCTGGAGATGTTCTAGGCGTTTCCTCTCGCCAGCCGAAAGTGCCCGCCCCATCCAGCTTCCCATTGGCCAGTGGGCCGGGGTCACGGTGATGCCCAGCTGGAGACGCTCTAGGCGGCTCCTCTCGCCGGCCGAAAGTTCCCGCCCCGCACGACTTCCTATTGGCCAGTGTGCGAGGGTCGCCGTGAGGCCCAAACCGCGCCGCTCTGGCCGACGCATCGCTCGCCATGCTCCTCCAGCTGGAGACGCTCTAGGCGGCCCCTCGCTGACCGGAAGCCCCCCGCGCCTTTCTGGCTTCCCATTGGCCAGCGCGCCGGTCGCTTCCTGTCGGCAAGGAAAATGGCGGAGTACGCCGCTGTGCAGCGCGGCCCGCTGCGGCTCAAGGGCGGCGGCGGCGCGGCGGCCGCGGGGAAGCGGTGAGGCCCGCGGGACCCGGCAGGGGGCGGCCCGGGGCGTCCGCGGAGGCCTCGCCGGGCCCGGCGCGGCTTCCTCGGCGGCGGCGGCGGGAGGCCTGGGTCCGCCATGGGGCGCCCGCGGGCGCGGTGCGGGCGGCGTATCCCCGCTCCCCAAAAAGTGGGGGAAATACAGGGTTAGGGTTAGGGTTAGGGTTAGGGTTAGGGTGGGGGAAATACAGGCGTTTCGTTGGATTTGCTTGCGGGAACCCGGCCCCCCCGCAACCTAAGAGCGTGTATGTGTGTGTGTGTGTTTGTGTATATGTCTATATTTCTATATATGTGTGTGTGTGTATGTGTGTGTGTATATATATATGTGTGTGTGTGTGTGTGTGTGTGTGTGTGTGTGTGTGTATATAATGTGTGTGCGTGCGGATATATATGTCTATATATATATATGTGTGTGTGTGTGTGTCTATATGTCTACATGTCTATATATATATGTGTCTCTATATTTGTGTCTATATATATATATATGTATGTGTGTGTGTGTGTATGTGTTTATATATTTGTATATACACACACACACATACATATATACCTAGGGGAAGGGCTGCAGTATGTGTATATATGGGGAAAGGACCGCTTTGTGTGTGTGTGTGTGTGTGTGTGTGTGTATTGGGGAAGGACTGCACATATATAGGGGAAGGCATGCAGTATCTTTGTGTGTGTGTATGTATATGTATATATGGGGGAAGAACCACAGTGTGTGTGTGTATGTGTGTATATATACATGCACGCACACACAGAGGGGAAGGACTCCAGTATGTATATATATTGGCACAGGACCTCAGAGTGTGTGTGTGTGTGTGTGTGATTGGGGCAGGACCGCAGTGTGTGTGTGTATGTATATTGGGGAACTACCGCAGTATGTGGGTGTGTGTGTATGGGGGAAGAACCACAGTGTGTATGTATGTGTGTGTGTGTATTATACACAATCAGAGGGGAAGGACTGCAGTATGTATGTATATTTTGGGGCAGGACCACAGCGAGTTTGTGTGTGTGTGTGTGATTGGGGCAGGACTGCATTGTGTGTTTGAGTGTGTGTGTATCTACACACATATGGGAAGGACCGCAGTATATAGCGCCGTAGCCCCTGCTTTTCCATGTGGAAGGTCCCAGGTGGCTCGAAACCCCGCAGGGGGCTCCCCACCCGTCCGCAGACTACATAGTCCATCGCCCCCAATTTCCACCTCGCCTGCTCCCGCAGGAAGAAGAAGCCGGGCCAGGAGAAGCACAAGATCGTGGAGCAGACCGTGAGCAGCAAGACGCAGGAGGAGGAGGCCGAGAAGCGGGGGCTGGACAAGCGCACCCCGGCCCAGCTGGCCTACGAGAAGATGCAGGAGAAGCGGGTAGGCCTGGGGGGCAGGCGGGGTCGCCCCGGGGCAGGCTGGGGGGGACGTGGGCCGCCCGGCACTGACGCCCCGGCCCTCTCTTTGCGCCCACAGAAGATCGAGCGCATCCTGAAGAAGGCGTCCAAGACCCACAAGCAGAGGGTGGAGGTGAGTGGGGAGCGGGGGGGGGCGTCCTCTGGGGACGGGGGGGGGGGGGGGGCGGCTCTGCCCCTTGGGGTGGGCCTGCCGGCGCCCCAAACAGACGAAGGTCCAGCCGGAGGCTCCCAGGTATGGGATGGAATCGATCATTTTCGTAGCCATAGTATTTTGTGGGTGCATGTGTATAAATTGTGTGTGTGTGTATAAGTGTGTGTGTATATGTGTGTGCGTGTAATATAATGTGTTTATAATGCATTATATAATATATTCTATATAATGTGTTTGTGTATGTATATGTATGTATAAATGTGTTCATGTATGTATATATATAAATGTGTGTATATAGTGTATATATAATTGTGTTGTAAGCCGCCCCAAGGCTTTTTGCGAATGGGGCGGCATAGAAATTGTTTAAATAAATAAATATTAAATGTATGTGGGTATATATCTATATAAAATGTGTGTATATGCAATATGTATATATAATGTATTTAGTTACACATATATATAATATAGTTTACATATATGCTATATATAAAGGTTTTTATATTTTTATATATAACATGTAATATTTTATTTATATATCTATATATCTATAATTATCTATTATATGATATATGGTGTTTACATATTATATGATATATATATATATAAAGGTTTATGTATTTTTATAAATAATATGTAATTATATTTTATACATAGAATTCTGTATTATTACATAATATGTACTTTTAAATATGTAGTATATATGTTTATAGATGTTATATATAAATATAATTTATATATATATGTATGCATACATATACAAGGACTGCAGGTGGCGCAGTGGTTTAAACTACCGCTGTGCTGCTGGGCTGGTAGAGCGAAAGGGCGCCGGCTGGAGTCTGCACACCCCGCGGGGTGAGTCCCGTCGCTCCGTCCCAGCTCCTGCCGCCCTTGCAGTTCGAAAGCGTGCAAAGGCGAGCGGAGAGAAAGGTGCCGCTCCGGTGGGCAGGTCACGGCGCTCTGTGCACCTCGGTGTGGAGTCATGCGGCCGCGCGACCACGGAGACCGTCTGCGGACACGCGCCGGCTCCCTCGGCCGGGAGACGGAGACGGAGAGGAGCGCCGCCCCCCCCGGAGTCAGGCATGGCTGGATGTATCGTCGAGGGGAAACCTTTACCTTTTATATATATGTATAAGTGTGTGTGTGTGTGTGTGTGTGTGTGTGTAATGTGTGTGTATATATGTAAAATATATAACTGTGTTTCTATATGCATATATAAAAAATATAACTGTTTATATATACATGTATAAAATATATAAATGTTCATATATACATGTATAAAATATATAAATGTTTATATATATATATGTATATATATATAAAATATATAAATGCATTTATATATATAAAATATATAACTGTGTGTGTATATATATATAAAGACATTTATATATTTTATATATACAAAGTTATATATTTTATATATATAAACTGTTTGTATGTATAAAATATATAAATGTGTTTGTGTATATATATATAGAATATATAAATGTTTATATATATATGTATATATAACATGTATATATGTATATAAAATGTATATATATGTGTGTGTATCTGTATATATACACATGTGTATGTGTATATATATAAATGTGTGTTTATATAAAATGTATGTATGTAATATGCAGGTATAATGTATTTCTTTATATATATAATGTAGTTTACATATTATATACTATATCTAATGGTTTGTGTATTTTATATGTAATATGTAATGTTATATATAAAGGTAAAGGTTTCCTCTTAACATTAAGTCCAGCCACATAAATTGTGTATTATATGATATAGAATGGTTACATATGAGATGATATTTATACAGGTTTATGTATTTTTATAACTAATATGTAATTATATTTTGTATATATAATTATATATTACTTATTATATAATACATATTTTTAGATATTATGTTATATATGTGTTTATGCATTTTATATATAAACATAATTTATGTATTATATAATACACACACACGATCGACTCCATAAAGGGAGCCACCGCCGGGAATCCCCGAGAGCGTGACAGTCCCGCTCTTTTGGGGGGGGGGCCTGCCAAAAATCAGCGATGCCCCCCAGGACACAACTCCCGACAGGCATTCACCCCCATCCCGGATGCCGGGATCCCAAATCCGATTCCACCGCCGCCAAATCCCCGGAATCCCTTTCCCTCCTGTCCTAATCTCCTTTTCCCCCCGTTCTAGGATTTCAACCGGCACCTGGACACCTTAACCGAACATTACGACATTCCCAAAGTCAGCTGGACCAAATGAAGTCGTTTTTTAATTCCGTTTCCGCCTGAGAGCTTTGCTAGACACCGTCTTTTCGGTAACTAAGTTGGAATTACATTCTTGCGTTCAAAATTTAATCCCCCCCCCCGTAGCTTAGCTTTCTCTCTGTATTTCTCTAGCTAACCCGCTCCCATATTTAAAAAAAATCATCTTTACATAATTAAAGTGGAAATACCAATGCCCATCGTTCAGGACTTGGTTGCAAATAGTCAATAAATAACAATAAGTCGTCGCTTTTCATTTTGCATATCTGAATTTTGCCTGCTTTGAGGGGACAGCAGGAGAATAGCTGGAAATTTGCAATTTTACCTGGTTCGGTTATTTTGAAAAATGCTTGTAAAATGATTTATTGCAAGCTGGTCCTGGTTTGGTTATGTGAAAAATATCTGCAAGAATTCATGGCAAGCTGGTCCTGGTTTGGTTATTTGAAAAATATTTGCAAGAATTCATGGCAAGCTGGTCCTGGTTTGGTTATTTTGAAAAATAGTTGCAGCAATTCATGGCAAGCTGTTCCTGGTTTGGTTTTTTTGAGAAATATTTGCAAGATTTCATGGCAAGCTGTTCCTGGTTTGGTTATTTTGAAAAATATTTGCAAGACTTCATGGCAAGCTGTTCCTGGTTTGGTTATTTGAAAAATATTTGCAAGATTTCATGGCAAGCTGTTCCTGGTTTGGTTATTTTGAGAAATATTTGCAAGAATTCATGGCAAGCTGTTCCTGGTTCGGTTATTTTGAGAAATATATTCAATTTAAGCACAAGGGTTGTCCGTTCATTAGAATAACAAAGCAAAAAAGGGAAGGGGGAGATATATTAGAATAACAAAATAAAATAAGAAAGGGAGGGGGGAGATACATTAAAACAACAAAATAGAACAAGAAAGGGGGATAAATTTGAATAGAACAAGAAAGGGGAGATAAATTAGAATAACAAAATAAAACAAAGGAGAGATAAAGTTGAATAGAACAAGAAGGGGGGATAAATTAGAATAACAAAACAAGAAAGGGGAGATAAATTACAATAAAACAAGAAAGGGATATAAATTAGAATAACCAAGAAAGGGGGGATAAATTAGAATAACAAAATAAAACAAGAAAGCGGAGATAAATTAGAATAAGAAAATAAAGCAAAAATGGAAGGGGGGATAAATTAGAATAAGAAAATAAAGCAAAACTGGAAGGGGGGATAAATTAGAATAATAAAATTAAGCAAGAAAGGGAAGGTGGGGATAAATTAGAATAACAAAGCAAAAATGGAAGGTGAAGATACATTAGAATAGCAAAATAAAGCAAGAAAGGGAAGGTGGAAATAAATTAGAATAAGAAAGCAAAAAGGAAAGGGGGATAAATTAGAATAACAATTACGCAAGAAAGGGGAGATAAATTAGAATAACGAAGCAAGGATAGGCTGGGACACGTCATTGCCAGGAATTCAATTTATTGTGGGTGCGGGTTGCGAAAACCAACAAAGCGGCACGTGGCAAAAGCAGGGAGCCGCTGCCTGCGTGGGGACGGGCAGCGGGTGAGGGGGGCCCCGGGGGGGCCCCAGGGTTGGTGGGGGGGCCCCGTGGTGGACCCCGAGGTGGAGTGGGGCCCCCGTGGTGCACCCCGAGGTGGTGTGGGGCCCCCGTGGTGGACCCCGAGGTGGTGTGGGGCCCCCATGGTGGACCCCGAGGTGGCGTGGGGGTGGTGGACCCCGATGTGGAGTGGGGGGCCCGTGGTGCACCCCGAGGTGGTATGGGGCCCCCATGCTACACCCTGAGGTGGTGTGGGGCCCCCGTGGCGGACCCCGAGGTGGTGTGGGGCCCCCATGGCGGACCCCGAGGTGGCGTGGGGGTGGTGGACCCCGAGGTGGAGTGGGGGGCCCGTGGTGCACCCCGAGGTGGAGTGGGGGGCCCGTGGTGCACCCCGAGGTGGTATGGGGCCCCCATGCTGCACCCCGAGGTGGCATGGGGGGCCTGTGGTGTACCCCAAGGTGGCGTGGGGCCCCCATGGTGGACCCCGAGGTGGTGTGGGGCCCCCGTGGCGGACCCCGAGGCGGCGTGGGGGTCCCCGAGGCGGGGAGGCCTGCCCCCCCCTAGAGGGAGGTCATGTCGTTGAGAGCGTGGTCCAGCTCCTCACTGATGGCCTTGTACTTGAGCTTCTGGGCGTACAGCTCGTCTGCAGGCGAGGAAGAGGATGGTGGCCGGCGAGGAAGAGGAGGCCCGCGGGGCGGCGAGGAAGACGGCGGCCGTGGCGGCGAGGAAGAGGAAGGAAGGAAGAAGACAAGTGAGCGCCGGGAGGGGGGAGGGGTTCAGCTCCCGGTTTGTTTTGTTTTGTTTTCTTGGATTTCCACAGATTGTTCACTTATTCGATTGTTTCCCTCTTATTTCATTTCATTTTGTTGTCTTAGATTTTCTTCTATTTTAAACTCTTTTATTTCATTATTTTCTGAGATTTTCTTCTATTTTAAACTTTTTTTATTTTAACTTATTTTACTTTATTATGTTTTCTTGTATTTTGATCTATTCCATTTTATTGTTTTATTTTATATTCTTATGCTTTCTTGAATTTTAACTTATTTTATTTTATTTGCTTATATTTTCTTATATTTTCTCATACTTTATTTCATTTTCCTATATTTTCTCATATTTTATTTCATTTTATTATTTGCTTATATTTTCTCATATTTTAATTTATTTCATTTTCCTATATTTTCTCATATTTTGACTTCTTTTATTTTACTATTTGATCTTATTTGCTTATATTTTCTCATATTTTATTTCATTTTCCTATATTTTCTCATATTTTGACTTCTTTTATTTTACTATTTGATCTTATTTTCTTATGCTTTCTTGTATTTTAATCTATTTCATTTTAGTTTCCTATATTTTGATCTATTTTATTTTCCAATTTTATTCCATTTTCCTATCATTTCTCATATTTTGAAATCAGTCAAAATTATTTAATTTAAAATAAAATTCTTTCATTATTTGATCTTATTTTCTTATGCTTTCTTGTATTTTAATCTCTTTCATTGTTTTATTTTTATTTCCTATATTTTACTTGAATCGAATTTATGTTTCGTTTAATTTGGGATTCACTCTTCTGTGTCCGTAGAGGCCTCGGAAAATGCTCAGGGATGCGAGTGGAATCAATTAATAAATTGGGACTAATGAGGGATGGAAGTGCGATCCATCAATTGGGACTAATGACCCCAATCCAGAGCCCCCCCTGCCCCCGAAAAGCCCCCTATGGAGCCCCCCCAAAAATATCCCCATTCCAGATCCCCCCTCTGCCCCTGAGAAGCCCCACTCCAGAGTCCCCCTCCGCCCCCCAAAAATCCCCACTCCAGAGCCCCCCTCCGCCCCCAAAAATCCCCACTCCAGAGCCCCCCCTCTGCCCCCAAAAATCCTAACTCCAGAGCCCCCCTCTGCCCCCAAAAATCCCCACTCAGCCCCCCTCCACCCCAAAAAATCCC